AGGAAAACTAGGTCTTATCATCGTGCAGATATAAAAGGCAAAGGGGAGACATTTTGAGAAATAGAGTGTGATAGAGAAACTCTTATTTACAGAGTGTAAACTTGTGTAAGGGTTTTCTCGGGATAACAAAAGGGGTAGAGTAGAACAGAGAGTGAGCCTTTGTAAAAGGGGAACTCGGGATTGTGTCTAAACTCTTGTAACCTCTATTGATCTAGTGGATTCCGGGAGAAAGATCCCGGCGAGACGTAGCGACCCGGTTTGGGCGTGAACTCGTAAAACTCGTGTGTGTTTTTCATCTCTTCCTTTCTCTTTACTCTGTTTCATTTCTTGTTTAAAGTCGTAATCTTGGTGTTGGAACTTAAGCTTCTCAATCAGAGTTTGGTTTGTTCGTGTTACTATAAGCATAAAGTTGCTTCCTTTGTGCTGAGTTCAACAACAGATTGGTAGCAGAGCCAGGTTCTGGTGCTAGTGACTCAGTCAGACAGAGTCATGTCTTCGTCAAAGACAGAGATGGAGAAGTTCGACGGGAATGGGGATTACACTTTATGGAAAGACAAGTTCATGGCTCATCTGGACATGTTGGGATTGAGCAAAGCTCTTGAAGAAACGTCAAAAGGCTCAGATCCAGAAAAACCAGATGAAAAGGGCGAAACTTTGGATGAGAAGAGGAAGAAAGCACGGAGTGCCATTGTTTTGAGTGTTACAGATAGAGTTCTGAGGAAGATTAGGAAAAATGATACAGCCGCTGCAATGATACAAGCTTTAGACAAGCTTTATCAAGAAAAGACTCTACCTAACAGAATCTATCTGAAGCAAAAACTGTACAGCTACAAGATGTCGGAAGGCTCATCAGTTGAGAACAATATAGATGACTTCCTTCGTCTTATTGCAGATCTGGAGAACGCTGATGTGGAGGTTTCAGATGAAGATCAAGCGATCCTTTTGTTAATGTCTCTCCCAAGACAGTTTGATTCTCTGCGAGACACACTGAAATATGGAGCAGGAAGAACCACAGTCACACTTGATGAGGTTGTTGCCGCCATATACTCAAAGGAACTAGAGTTTGGATCGAACTCAAAAGGTTCAAAAGCTCAAGCAGAAAGTCTTTATGTCAAGGATAAGGGAGGACAGAAAAGCAAAGGAGAACAGAAAGAGAAAGGTTCTAAACAGAACAAGAAATCTAAAACCAAGGGAAAGAAAAGCTGTTGGATTTGTGGGGAAGAAGGACACTTCAAAAATTCCTGTCCCAATCGCAACAAATTTCCAAGCAAGCAGAAGGAACAAGCGGGCTCTAGCAGAGGAGAAGCTGCAATGGTACAGGGAAACAATGAAGATGCTGCAGGGTGCTATGTGTCAGAAGCCCTACATTCAACAGACGTAAGCCTGGAAAATGTATGGATTATGGACACTGGGTGCAGCTACCACATGACCCATAAAAGGGAATGGTTTGAGTACTTAAGTGAAGACGCAGGAGGATCAGTTCGGATGGGAAACAAGACCACATCGAAGGTCAAGGGTATTGGTAATGTAAGAATCAGAAATGATGATGGCTCGACAGTTCTGCTCAAGCACGTCAGATACATACCAGACATGGACCGGAATCTGCTATCTATGGGGACCTTAGAAGAGCAAGGGTGCGGTTTTGAATCAATGAATGGGATTCTCAATATCAAGCAAGAAGGAAAGATCATCATGACAGGAAGGAGGTATGAAAAGCTCTACATACTTCAAGGAAAACCTGAGAACGGTCAATCTCTGGCTGTTGAAAGAAGAGTGGACGACACAGTCTTATGGCACAGGAGATTATGCCACATGAGTCAAAGGAATATGGATATTCTGGTAAAGAAAGGCTTTCTTGACAAGAAGAAAGTGTCCACATTAGAGATGTGTGAAGACTGTGTCTATGGTAAAGCTAGAAGAACCGGTTTTGACTATGCAACTCATGACACAAGAGACAAACTAGACTACATTCACTCAGACCTGTGGGGAGCTCCTACAGTTCCATTTTCTTTGGGAAAATGCCAATACTTCATATCGCTCATAGACGATTACTCAAAGAAAACATGGGTATATTTTCTGAAGCACAAGGATGAAGCATTCAGGTCTTTTGTTGAATGGAGTGTCATGGTGGAGAATCAAACTGAGAAAAAAATCAAGGTGTTAAGGACTGATAATGGTCTCGAGTTCTGCAACCTCCAGTTCAACAATTTCTGTAAAGAAAAGGGAATAGTAAGACACAGAACCTGTGCCTACACGCCTCAGCAAAATGGCGTTGCAGAGAGGATGAACCGAACCATTATGGAGAAAGTTCGATGTATGTTGAGTGAATCAGGGCTACCTAAGACATTCTGGGCCGAAGCAACTCACACCGCTGTGAATTTGATCAACAAAACTCCATCTTCTGCAATTAACTCCGAGATACCTGACAAGAAATGGACAGGTAGATCCCCTATATACAGTTACTTGAGAAGATTTGGCTGCTTGTCCTTTGTTCATACAGATGAAGGGAAGTTGATGCCAAGAGCAAAGAAGGGAGTTCTATTGGGATATCCAGATGGGGTTAAGGGATACAAAGTCTGGCTGCTAGAAGAAAAGAAATGCATTATCAGCAGAAATGTGATTTTCCAAGAAAATGCAGTGTATAAGGACGTGATGCAAGGCAAGAAAGGGTCTTTAGGGGAACAAGCTGAATCGTCAAACTCACTACTGGATATAGACCTTGGGAAAACAGTGGTTACACCCTCTGGTGGAGATCTCTCGGAAGAGATAGGATCCCTGGGAGATCACTCACCAGACCAAGCTAACCATGAAGCGGTTCAAGAAGAAAATAAAGAAGTTGCAGAAGAGAGTACAGAAGATACACCAAAAAGTTATCATCTAGCTCGAGATAGACAAAGAAGAGAATTAAGGGCTCCAAAAAGATTTGACATTGAGGGATATTATGGTGAAGATGCCGATGAGGAAGATGAAGTCTTTTCTGCAGAAGCTCTGATCACTACAGTCGATGGAGACAAACTGGAACCAGTTAACTATCAGGAAGCGAGAAGGGATGAGGACTGGGAACTTTGGAAAGAAGGAATGAATGAAGAGATGGACTCTCTACTGAAAAACTTCACATGGACCGGAGTTACAAGGCCAGAAAATCAACGTGTGATTGGCTGCAAATGGATTTTCAAGCGTAAGCCTGGAATTCCTGGAGTAGAAGAACCAAGATACAAAGCGAGGTTGGTTGCAAAAGGATATGCTCAAAGGGAAGGAGTGGACTACACAGATATCTTCGCACCAGTGGTGAAACATGTGTCTATAAGGATACTACTTGCTATTGTTGTGGAAGAGGATTATGAACTTGAACAGTTAGACGTAAAGACTGCGTTTCTCCATGGTGAACTAGATGAAAAGATCTATATGGAGATTCCAGAAGGCTATAAGGACAAGTTCAAGGATAATCAGGTGTGTCTACTAAACAAGTCACTCTATGGTTTAAAACAAGCGCCAAGGAAGTGGAATCAGAAATTCGATGGTTATATGACAGAGATTGGTTTTGAAAAGAGTCCTCATGATAGTTGTGCGTATATAAAAACGCTTGGGGATGGATCCAAGATCTATCTGTTAATATATGTTGATGACATGTTGGTTGCTGCAAAAGACAAAGGAGTGATTTCAGAATTAAAACAACAACTCAATATCAAGTTCGAAATGGAGGATCTTGGACCAGCCAAGAAAATACTAGGCATGGAGATCAGAAGAGACAGAGAAAAAGGTGTTCTGAAGCTGTCCCAGGAAGGATACTTGAGCAAAGTTCTTGATTTGTATAAGATGGGAGAAGCAAAGCAAGTGATTACACCTCTCGGGGCTCATCTGAAGATGTGTGCAGCAACAGAGAAGCAATTGCTTGAAGAAGAGGAATACATGAAGAGTGTTCCGTATGCAAATGCTGTTGGGAGCATCATGTACTCTATGATAGGCACAAGACCAGATTTGGCATACCCTGTGGGAATAATCAGCCGGTTTATGAGCAAACCTATTAAGGAACACTGGCTGGGAGTTAAGTGGGTGCTTAGATACATCAAGGGGACACTAAAGACCAAGCTGTGCTACTGCAAAGGTTCAGAATTCGTAATCAGGGGATACTGTGATTCTGATTTCGCTGCAGATGCCGACAGGAGGAGGTCCATTAGTGGAATGGTGTTTACTCTCGGTGGAAACACAATCAGCTGGAGATCTACTCTGCAGAAGGTGGTAGCTCTATCGACTACTGAGGCCGAGTATATGTCTCTGAATGAAGCTGTTAAAGAAGCTATTTGGCTTAAGGGATTACTGGAAGACTTTGGCTATAAACAGGGAAGTGTTGAAATATTTTGTGATTCCCAAAGTGTCATAGCTCTTTCAAAGAACAATGTGTTCCATTAGAGAACTAAGCACATCGCTGTCAAGTACCACAAGATTCAGGATACAATTGCAGATGGTATTGTGGAGGTTTTAAAGATATCAACATTGAGGAATCCAGCTGATATCTTCACCAAGATTTTACCCGCAAGTAAGCTCCAAGCAGCTCTAGACTTACTGCGTGTAAAGGCTGAGTAATAAGACTCAGGAATCCGGGATCTGGAATCCAGTAAACTAGTTCAATGAGAAGTCTATCTCTCACTCTCAAGAAATTCGTTTAGTGTTGTTTTGCAGGCTTGATCGTTCACTACTAGGTGGAGATTTGTTGAAATATAGTACTAAAGATCAAGACAAATAAAGAAGAGCAACAACAACAGAGTACTAAGCGTGGAGAAGAAGTTGTTCTGTCTCCAACAGTCAGCACAGGATCAGTAAAATGCAGGACCACTTTTTTGTAGCCGTTTTGCTTTAGCTCATTAAATGACTAAGCATGAGTTGTTTGTCTTGTCTCCGACATGGCCCGTCTGATTCAAGTTTTTTTCAAATAACAAAGGAGAAATCTTTTGTCGTGGTGCATTTGAGGAAAACTAAGTCTTATCATCGTGCAGATATAAAAGGCAAAGGGGAGACATTTTGAGAAATAGAGTGTGATAGAGAAACTCTTATTTACAGAGTGTAAACTTGTGTAAGGGTTTTCTCGGGATAACAAAAGGGGTAAAGTAGAACAGAGAGTGAGCCTTTGTAAAAGGGGAACTCGGGATTGTGTCTAAACTCTTATAACCTCTATTGATCTAGTGGATTCTGGGAGAAAGATCCCGGCGAGACGTAGCGACCCGGTTTGGGCGTGAACTCGTAAAACTCGTGTGTGTTTTTCATCTCTTCCTTTCTCTTTACTCTGTTTCATTTCTTGTTTAAAGTCGTAATCTTGGTGTTGGAACTTAAGCTTCTCAGTCAGAGTTTGGTTTGTTCGTGTTACTATAAGCATAAAGTTGCTTCCTTTGTGCTGAGTTCAACAACATTTATCATCAGAGATCTTTCATAAACAAAAATACACAAAATACTTTAAATTTGAATTTTGGATCGGTTTCAGACATCCAAGGAAGGATAAAAGCTGCATTAGCTCTCAAGCCTGGCGAAAAGCGAAAGCTTTAGGCGGCCACTGCGAATGTTTTGAGAAACAAGCCTTAATATTAATCCTCATCAACCGATCACAATGACAAAAGATTCAACAAAGATCATAGTCAACCATTAAAAGCAAACAAAAAGGAATCACAGTTTTGAGTTTTGGTCTCAGACATCCAAGGAAGGATAAAAACATCATAGGCTCTCAAGCCCGGCGAAAGGCGAAAGCCTTAGGCGGCAACTGCGAATGTTTTGAGAAACAAGCCTTAATGTTTATCCTCATCGACCAAAAAACCAAATTCACATAAACGAAATCAAAATCGAGAAAAATATTTCCCATCCTGAAATGATCAGCGAGAAACCAATCAAGACTGCTGACAAAGTGAAACAGATGGATTAAGATATGAGGGACTTGGTTCAATCCAATAGCACTAAGAAATCAATTCTGCTAAAAGGGACATAATAAACGAAGTCCCAAATCTAACACCCTACTGAGAAAATCAAACAATGAAAAATTGATTCAAAGCAAATAAGTTTCAGACATCCAAGGAAGGATAAAAGCAGCATCAGCTCTCAAGCCTGGCGAAAGGCGAAAGCTCTTAGGCGGCCACTGCGAATGTTTGAGAAACAAGCCTTTGGAATTATCATCATTAACCTAAACTCAAACTAATTCTAGAGTCTCACACAGAGAATAAGATCTGAAAAATAAAAAAAACAAGACAAAATTTGAGTGGGCGTTACGAGATGAAATCAAAAACGAGGAAGAGAAAATCGGCAATCTGATGTAAAGGTTTTGGATGGATATGAGTCCATGGAGAGGATGAGGTAATTTATACAAAGTAGAATATAGGAGGCGGCCATAACTAGGGTTTTGTACTTGCTGACACAATCAACGGCGGAGATCTACCGATTTTTCTTTCCTTTTTCTTCATTTATAACTTTGTTCAGTAGAAGAATCGAGATGCTTATAGAAAACTACCGTAGTAGTAATAATGGGATTTCAATTAGGCCCAGACAATTTTGGCGGAAACCCACGTACCAATCCGAACCAGATTTGTGATTTTTTAAAGTTTTCAACTTTTCATAAGAAGTTTTTTTTTGGTATGATTTTCTAAGTTTTCATAAGAAGTTCTATGAATGCATATGGTATACTAAGATAATAAATGTTATTATGCTAAGCTAATTACTCCGTCGAAGGCGAGCTTGTTATCTAAGTTATCTAGAGGCATAAACTTCGTAAAATTGAAACCCTTGAGCAACTTCTTATAACTCAAACGAAATACAAATCCTCAAGAACTAGACTACATTATATATTTATATTGTACTTACCACCATACAAGTTAATAGACGAAAATAGGAATAGAGACACAAGTGTAAAGAGCCTTACGCTTTTGGATCAACTTTCAAATTGTTTCTTCTATTGTTTGTGTTTCAACTTCCACAAGAGAGACACTCCTCACGGTTTGTCAAAGAGCAGACCATCTGCGCCATCTTCGTCTCATTGTCTTCTTCGTCTTTTGTTCCTTCTCCGTCTTCGGAGCCATTAGGCTTTTCCTGCATCACAGGCAAATGTCAACTTCGCTGCCTACAGAATCACACAGTGACACAAAAGTGTTGTATACCTTTAGCATTGCTGTGTCTACTGTGAACTTTATTGCATCTGCTGCAGCACGTGATCGCAGGTAGTACATTCCAGTTTTCAAACCCTTTTAGTATTCACAACAATAACCAATATGAGGAAGTGAGTTTCATGAACCGATGCAAATTCGTGAACATTCCTACTTACAAGTTTAGATGTGATACAACCATATTTTGACCATTTTGAGTGTTTAAGTAAATATACTTATGATGAGTTGTTACCTTTTTCCAAGCGTGGAAGTGTAAGGAAGTGAGTTTTGCAAAGTTGATTTTGTCCATGTGTATATTCAAACTTTGGCTTTGATCAATAAAGCATCCACGATCAACGGCCATGTCTACCACTGTTCTCTGCTTAATCTCCCAGACAGTCCTGAGTCATTTTGCACAAGGGCACACAGGTTAAATAATATGAACACAGAGTAATCAGAGCATAAAAAAACAAGAAATTCTATACCTGTAAATCGCTTTCAAGTCGTCGGGTATCTCTGGAACATTTACAACAGAACCATTCTCATATATTATCTTGTTTTTCAGCGTAGGAGACCACAGTCCCATATCAGTCAAGTCGTGAAGAAGATGCTTGTTCACTACTACGAATTCACCGCTGAAGATACAACGAAGACTAATGATTAAGCCTCTTGAGAAAACAGAAATATAAATTTGTGGAGCAATATTATTCTCTTGAAGAACATACCTCAGGACTCTACGACTATAGATGTTTGAGGTATACGGTTCAAAACATTCATTATTCCCAAGAATCTGGCTGGTTGAAGCAGTTGGCATTGGTGCCACTAGAAGAGAATTTCTGATTCCATTCTTTGAAATCATATCCCTGAGAGCAGCCCAATCCCAGCGGTCCGAAGGAATTACATTCCACATATCAGGTTGAAGAATTCCCTAAAAGAATACCAAGCAATTAGGAACATGAATTTATTACAGTGTTGTACAAATGTAGAAAGAATTGCTGGTTGTGATCCATACCTTACTCACAGGGCTTCCTTGGTATGTCTCATATGTACCTTCCTTAGTAGCAATCTCTGAAGATGACTTGAGTGCATGGTAGTATATGGTTTCAAATATGTCTTTGTTCAGCTGTTGAGCCTGAGGTGCAATCCAAAAAACTTGTTCAGAAAAGAGAACAAAAGTACATTAAAAAGTCGATTAGCTTATGCCAAACAAGTTTACCTCGGGGGAATCAAATGGAATTCCAAGAAGGATAAATGCATCTGCAAGACCTTGTACGCCAATACCAATAGGCCTATGACGCATGTTTGAAGTTTTGGCGGTCTCCACTGGATAGTAATTCACATCTATTATCTTGTTGAGATTAACAGTAACGGTTGCAGTCACCTGACGAAGCAGAATAGTTTTGTTTTTCAAGGTCAACATTGAATTCCACAGACATGGAAACTTATCAAATTGAGCCAAGTAGTTAAGCGCTGACCTCTGCTAACTTATCAAAATCAAAATAACGATTCTTTGAGCCCAAACTGCCTACAATCTTAGATGGATGCGAGTCCAAGGGGACATCCTGTTGTGAGATGTAAGAAAGGTCAAGAGTTATGCACTAAGTGACAACGCAAAATCAAATACCGAAACACCTTTTTCAACTCACCTTCTCCCTTACGAATCGCGGTAAAGCAATAGATGCAAGATTGCACACGGCAGTTTCTGTTGGACTGGTGTATTGGATGATTTCAGTGCATAAATTGGAAGACTTTATGGTCCCCAGATTTTGCTGATTGCTTTTCCTGTTACAAGAATCCTACAGCAGAGTCTCGCCAGAGTGAGAACCTGGGATTATATAATTAGACCGAGTGGCTACAGAATTACGACTGTTTCTTACCTTGAAAAGCATGTAAGGAGTCCCCGTTTCTACTTGGGATGTCAAGATTTCGTACCAGAGCTGCTGTGCCAGGACAACCTTCTTAGCCTTACCCTGAAGATCAAATCAAACAGAGCTGGTTCACATCCATAGAAAAAGGATGACAGCAAGTATTACGAATAGCAAGAGTTTGAATTCTGAAAGTAAAAAAAAAAAAAAAAAGAATTCTGAAAGTAGTAGTAAGTCCAAAGACGAAATCACTCACCTCGTTCTCATACTGACTGTACAATCTCTCAAATTCTGCACCCCAACAATCTGCCAAACCTGGAGCTTCATTAGGACAAAACAGTGACCACTGTCCATCACTCTGGACCCTCTCCATGAAAAGATCTGGTATCCAAAGACCATAAAACAAGTCTCTAGCCCTGTGTTCTTCCTGAAATAGACAAAAAAAATTGTAGTGTGAGAATTTTAAACAAACTCCAGATTATATTGTAGGGAAAGTGAGTGATATCGAGACTGTACCTTCCCATGATTCTTTCGGAGTTCCAGAAACTCAAAAATGTCAGCATGCCATGGCTCCAGGTATACAGCAAAGGCTCCTTTACCAATTACAAAAAAAAATAGACATAAGAAATATCGAACTAAAACTATTTCAGAAATAATCATAATACTTGTAGCGATGTATACCCTTTCTCTTGCCTCCTCCTTGATCGACATAGCGAGCGGTATCATTGAATACACGTAGCATTGGAACAATACCATTAGATGTTCCATTTGTACCACGAATGTAACTTCCAGTTGCACGGATGTTGTGAACTGAAACACCAATACCCCCAGCTGATTTGCTGATAACAGCACACTCTTTCAATGTATCATATATTCCCTCAATGCTATCATCCTTCATGCAGATCAGAAAGCAGCTACTTAGCTGCAAATTCAAGCATTTTCAAACAGCACATCAGTAAAACAGATGTAGATGCAGATATGGGTTCCGGTAAAACAGAAGTATTGGTGCAGTACTTGGGCCCTAGGAGTTCCCGAATTGAAGAGAGTAGGAGATGCATGAGTGAACCATCGCTGAGACATTAAATGGTAAGTTTGTATTGCGGATTCAATATCTTCCTTGTGAATGCCAACAGAAACCCTCATCAGCATGTGCTGAGGCCTCTCAACTACTTTGCCTTGCACTTTTAAGAGGTATGATCTCTCAAGAGTTTTGAATCCAAAGTAGTCATATTCGAAATCGCGATCATAGATGATTTCACTGTCCAGGCGAGTAGCATTCTGAAATAAAGCCCACAATTAAAGAAGAGGTGAGTCAATTTAAAGCATAATGTCCATCTACAGCCTCCTATAATGAAGATTTGAGTGTCTAACACATGCTTATACCTTCATAACTATCTCAAATACATCATCAGCGATTAGAGGAGCCTCAAGTCCAGATCTCTCATTGACATGTCTGTACATATCCTTAACCCTGAAGATCCATCGAATTCAACTCATGTAAATACGTAATCAGTGATATGACCAGAGAAAGACAAAAAAAAAAATTAGATCAAAGCAACACTCACGTCTCAGAAAACGATTTCTTAGTATTCTTGTGAAGATTAGAGACAGCAATCCTTGCAGCCAACTGAAATACAAACATTGAATATACGTTAATTCTAAAACCAATTCAAACAAAAAACGATCAAAAGTTTAAGCATCGCAATTGAGAAGTCATGAGTCCCTGAAGAAATTGAATACGTTTCCCTATGCGTAAATATCAAACAGGCCCAGGCAACAATCCCATCAGTAAGATGCAATTCAAGATGGGACTCTTTCGATTCTCCGCATATAAAACGTAAACCCAGCGAAAGTAAAAAAGGGGAAAGGAGACTGACGGAGGCGTAATCAGGATGGTTGGCGGTCAAAGCAGCAGCGGTCTCGGCGGCTAACTCGTCGAGTTGACTGGTGGTGACGCCTTTGTAGACACCGGCACAGACTTTCTGGGCGACGAGGACAGGGTCACAGTGTTCGCTGCTAAGCCCATAGCTAAGCTTCTTCAGCCGCGCAGTGATTTTGTCGAAGTGAACAGTTTCCTGCCTTCCGTCACGCTTCACGACGTACATTTTTCTCGTCGGGATTTGTGTCGAACAGTTGGTGGGTGTGTGAGACTGGAATATGATAAGAAGAGACGGTCACACACACGATTTTAAATAGATTGAGTAAAGGTAGGCACAAATGTTTCGGATTCTAATTTTGACCCTTTTGTTTTTTTCACCCCGCGCGAAAGATTTGGATTTTCCCGCCAGCTTCCGGGAGAAGGAACATAGGGCTTGTACGTCAAGTGGCGCGGGTGAAATACTTTTAAAAAAACTTGATGCGTTTACCTCGATCAGTGTGGGCCCTGTTCATAAGGCATCCGTGATAGATATATAGAGCCAATTGTTCGCATGGGCCCAAAATTAGAAGCGAATACAAAAAATATGAAATAGGTAAATACGTGATAGTGATAGAGGTAGCTTTCGTAATTAATTAATTGTTTTTTTTGCAAATTATAAATAATCACACACATGAAAAGTATCATATATTCTTGTTTTCGTTATGTCTTGATCATTTTATGTAATACGTAGTCACCGTAGGTGGTTTTTTTTACGTCGAACTGTAAACTTCATTAAGCTCAATCACAACAATTGAGAGAGCTGAAAAAGCTTCTTTAGCAACAGCATCCGCATGGTATTAAATATTCGGGAGAAAACAAAAACGAAATTGAAGAAAACAATATTGCCAAATGACATCTGATATGAGTATTTTGTGATTGAAGAGTATTCACGAGGAAGTGACAATCCGAAAGAACTTGAATCTCTTCACATCCTTTAATAGTGAAGTATTAATTATCCAATCATTCTAGACAATATCGGTGTGAGAATCCCTACAATACAAGATTCAATTCAAGTTAATTATTACTTATTTACTTAGCAATTTTGGTCAATTTTATTTACAGTGAATGTCTGGAAATAAAAACTAATCGGCGATTCGCAAACTATAGATATCAATGTAAATTTTGGTTATTCTCCTGATTTTTATATTTTAAAATTTGGTACGGAAAAAACATATCAACGTCACTATTGTAGTATTGTTGGGGGAGAAGGAAAAAAATTGGAACACTATTGATGTTATTAAAATGCATTTCCGTCTACCTTTATTTTATACACTTTCATTAATGAATAGAAAATGGAATTTGTCAAACAAGTTATTTTAAGTTTTGTAGCTCCAATATGCAAAGCAACATTTCTTTCTTCTAGCACCTTCGTTTGGTTCAGCGCAGATCGATCTATTACGTACAAAATCATGGAAAACGATAACAAAAAAATATTTAACACGCACTTGTAAACAGCGTTATTAAAACGTAATTAGCCACATCCCCTTCGACTAATTAACTAATCTCTCGCAATCTCCTTCGTCGCTCTGTAGATACTCGCGAGAGACCGAAACTTCTTTTTCTTATTCCTCATAATTGTCTTCGTCCCCATCATCGCCTTCACGAAACTCCGCCCGTCGGAAACATTCTTATTCATCTTCCGTACGCCGTCGTTTTGCCCCTTTACGGCCATATCATGAATCTCCGAGCTAACAACATCTTCTTGTCTCTTCGTATTGCATCCTCCTTCACAACCGCCGCAACCGCAACCGCAAACGCTCCAGCCTGTACCGCTGCTACAGCTCATTGTATCATCTTCGCTCAACTGCACTAGCTGCTCTGCCGCTTCCATCTCCGTCTCCGAAAACGCAATCCCTGTTTCTCCCGAAGAACCAATCATCTCCATTTGAAATGGTTTGATCATTTTCGAAACCAACAAAAACACTTGATTAAACTCGATCGAATTTAATTATCTCGTCTCCCTCTTGACCAGTACTCTGCTCAAGTTTACGTGTATCGTTGTTTTTTTTTTTTTCTGTTATGTTTGTCGCCTTTTTTATATAAGAGAAGAAAAAAGGAAAACTAATAAACCAGAAAGAAAAAAGGAAACTACAATGTCGGTTTGCAAGAAGAACGTGTCTTCTGAAAAATTTGCACTTTCAGAGAAGATAATATTAAAAGTTAATAAACCACGGCCGATCCTCTGCAAGCGGGTGTATTTTGATTAGTTGATCGTGAACCGTCAAAACTAGTGACCGACTTTAAGATTTTTTTGGTTTGCTTGATCCAACGACTCCCGTGTGTCTGTCTGTTACTTTTTAGATGAGGTTTAAAAAACTTTCCTTTTTGCTATAGAGGAGGTGCGTTTGACTTCAATTATACGATTTGGTGGGGTCCATGCAAAGCAATTCCGGTATCGATAAGGAATAAACACGTCTCGGACCCATATGCTTCACTCCACGTGTTGTCATCTCAATCGTAGCCTCATCCATTGCCGGACATGCGGTGGCTTCTCAGACGTTCGATTCAGTTTAGTAAACCATACTAAAATCGCCGTTTAGAAGTTTTTGTTTTTTTACCATAATGTTACAAGTTTTGTTTTCCCCCTAAATATCAGAATTTTGAGATGTATATCACTAATCATCTTTCAGGAGACAAAAGGCATAATCAAATATCTAAGTTATTGACTAATTTATTTATTTATTTGCGAAATAAACAGTGCATATAAACGAGTGAGCAAAAGATTTGGGAAACACTAAAATCCGTTATTAACAAAGTATGTGATTTTTATCATTATTATACAAGAACTAGAAGGTACATGGAAAAGAAAAGCAAACAACTCTATGAGTATAACATTATAATGAAAGAATTTTAATTTAGGGAGAACAAAAAAAACTCGTAAAAACTGCACATCTTTGTCTACAAACACAATTGAACCCAACAACCAGCAAAACAGTACAGGTCATCTTCATCAACACTTTTGCTTCCAAAGCTCCAACAAGAAAACTCCTTAACTCTTCTTTTTCTCTCAGAATTATCACCCAGAGCTTAGTTTAAACAGTTGAGACCACAAATCTCCAACACTGGTCCACCTTTAGCCACAAACGGATTAACTCTAACCCACAGGAGCGTCAAGATCGAAGCAAGAAGAATAGACCAAACCACAATGATCGTAGGCATCCTATCTTGCTTCCCAAGCAATCCCTTGAGGAATGGGTATAAATGAACAATGACCCAAAGAGCGAAGAACAGTCTCCCAAAGAGAGGTCCCCAAGAGTCATAACCATTGCTGATTGCGTCCGAGACACCGACAATTACTCCGATGATGTTTATGATCAAAAGTGTTGTCGGAGGAATCAATAAAGTTGTCCATTTGAAGATGTAAAGCTCAGAGAAAGCTCCATCGTCTGCTGCTTTTGACGTGACTGTGAAATTAGTGTTAACTCCAGCGAGGACTTTGAGCAAACCTTGAAACAGAGCAAATAGATGCGAAGAGGCCCCTCCGATTACCCAGAATTGCTCGTTTCTCCACCAATCATCGATTCCGACACCTCCCCATTGCATTTCGAGAATTCCGGTTACTGCTATGGATATGAACATGAGCATGAAGAGAATACCTGCGTAGTTGCTTATCTGTCAAAGTGAAACACACAAGAGTTTTTTAAAACACGAAGCAGAGTAATATCTAGTGTTACTAAAACCATGGATGATGAAGAAAATGCAGAGGTTATGATTGAAGTACCTCGGGGACGATGAATTTCCCGGTGAGTAAACAGACCGCCGGGAGAGAACAGTAGACGATGAGTGGAAGTGAAGTCCATGGATAGACAACAGAGTTGATGTAAGAGAATCTCTCCAACCATTTTAACCCACCACCATAACCATACCATATCGGACAATGTCTGCTCAAGAAAATCTCTACAGAGCCAAGAGCCCAACGTAGAACCTGATGAAGACGATCCGACAAGTTTATTGGAGCAGATCCCTTGAAAGCTGCACGCTTTGGCATACAGTATACAGATCTCCATCCATGGCAATGCATCTTGAAACCCGTCAAGATATCTTCAGTCACCGATCCATAAATCCACCCAATCTGCGTTTAATATACAAGCAAAATGAGATCACAAGAACTTTTGGAACTTTTTCTTACAAGTCGAAAACTTTGTAATGTTTTACCTCTTTTCCCCATTCGGTTTTATCTTCGTATCCGCAGCTAATAACTTGAATTGCTTCTCTCAACAAACACGCGGGGCTTGCGTTACGGGGGACTCCACCGTCTTGCAGAACAGCAGAGGCAACGAAGACCGGAGATTGTCCAAATTTCTTCTCCAATTTCAGTTGGGTTGCTTCAGATCTCTTCACAGGATTTGACACTACCAATAAAAAAAAAAAGCAGCTACTTTAGCCTATAGACTTTCAATAAGACAAAAACCAAGCAAGAATTTCTTTTTATTATCTTTACCTGCAACGACGGCACCTTCTTCGATGTTCTCTAGAGCATGAATCTGCTTTGAAGTCTCTTTAGGGTTCTGTTTCTTATCTTTAGCCTTTGCTTTACTCTTCTTTCTCAACCCACAACACAAACAACACCATTTAGGCCAGCAGTTACAGGTTTTGCCTGGTGGTTTCTTCTTCTTTGGTGCATCAAAACCATAGAGAGCTTGTCTTCTAAAGACACAACCTGTCCCAACGTATATCGGTCCTTGTATCCCATCAAGACCTTTCATGTTAATCTGTTTACACACCAGAAAATGATCAAATGAGAAAGAAGGAAGAGAAGTAAGAACATAAATAGAAGGAAAAGACATAGGGACACATACATCGAAGAACACCACATTGCGATTTGAGTATCGATCATGTCTATCAATCCCGTCGAATCTCTGAGGAAACTGAACATAGCAAACTTTCTTTCCGGATTGCGGATCCATCATGAAACACATAGCTTCTCTAATTGCCTTGCTGTTGTTAATGTAGTGATCACAATCGACGTTTAGAAGGTAAGGAGCGTTTGATAGAACAGCAGAGACTCGGATCTTCAAGAAGATAAAGTAAAAATGAGTTTAAGTCTACGAAAATCCGAGAAAGCAGAACAGAGAATAATATAAACCAGATTTATCCCTACCAAAGAATTCATAGCTCCAGCTTTCTTATGGTGTTCAAATCCAGGCCGCTTCTCACGAGAAACATACACTAAACGCGGTAACTCATTCCCATCTGTATCACGAACTCCGCTATGTCCCAAGAACACCTGCCATTTTTTGAAATTTTCTTAGAAACCAACCCAAAAGTAGAAGTGCTTAATCCAGTTTAACTGAACAGAAATCAATCCAAAGTAAGAGGAGAATTGTCATTACCTGAATCATGCCTGGATGGTCTCGGACATTGTTTCCAGGCCAAGGAGTTCCATCTTGCATAGTCCAACCTTCCTCAGGCACTTTCTGTGCTGTAGCAACCAATGCATTTATCTTCACCTTAAATTCCTCATAATCTCTCTGCAACACATAAACAAACAAAAAGGTCCATAAAGCAAGACTCTTTAAAACAAAAACTCTTTATGATCGGATTTACGCGGAAAAGAAAGAGAGAGAAAAAGCAGCAATGAAAACCTTCATAGCACGACGTTCCCTGACAAAAGAAGGATGAACTTTATTTTTCAAATAATCCATCTTCTGGCAAAAATACCACTCGGGAGCACGTGGCTCGATATTGAACTTCTTACAGAAAGGAACCCATTTTCTAGCAAACTCGGCTGTGTCAGAGAGAGCTTCAAATGTAAGCATAGCTGCACCATCGTCCGATACATAACATGCAACCTTATCAACAGGATAATCAACGGCTAGAATCGATAGAACCGTGTTTGCTGTGATCAGCGGTGGCTCTTTCAGCGGATCCACTGTACTCACAAAAACATCGACAGATGCTAATCCCGATGGTTTGCCTTCCTTCTCGTACCTAATGTAAGACAAAAGAGAGTTCTCAAAATCATTGGGAGTTTTAAAAAAAAAGAATATGTATTTTCAGATAAGATGAAGTCTTTCATGTTTATGTATACCTGAGAGAGAGTCTGTCGAGGTATGTTTCGCGTTGAATAGGATACCATTTAGGGAACTGATCAAGAATCCAAGATACGGCGAACCATATTTCACAAATAACTGATGTTAACCACAATCCATATGCATCATTCACTGGATGCAGAATTCTATAATGGAAGAAAAGGCAAAGAATCGCGAGCCGACACATAATCAACATCCTGTAAGGATTTATTCTGCTAGAACGAATCGGTAGCTTTCTTGAGAGAGGTTGTCTTCCTTCATCCATCCTGATTTAGCACCAAAACGTTAAAAACATCAATAAAAACACAAAAACCATTGAATGCAAACTTTGTTTTTAAGGTTTTCATTTGGCACCCCTAGTTTTAACTTACATAGGCATGTCAGGATCATCAAGTCCATCGTCATCATTAAAACCTCGGCCAGCGTTTCCACCTTCATGATTAACGACCTGAAACTTTTCACCTTGTCGTTTCTTCCACACCTCCATTCTATCCTTCCAAGCAACACTTCCATATCCATATTCCGCAATATCTTTCTGAGGAACCATTGATCGTGCCTGTGCTGTAAACCACAAACAACACCATTTCACAACACATTAGAAGTTGAATAAATTCATTTTTCGATAGGAATGATAAAAGAAAACACATACGAGGTACAGAAGAATCTGTAAATGGTGCAGGATGGACTCGATTCCCATATCCCGTCGAAGGAGGCACGATAAGAGCATGTCGATCAGAATACATATCATCATCCTGAGAAAACATATACATAGTTGATAAACATAATCATAAAATCAGCAACATTCTTCCGTGAAATAAAAACCGTTTTGGCTTCCTGACCTCATCACAATAAG